GACCCGGCACTTGGCCTTGTTGAACCTCATCCCACTGGAATCAGCCCAGCTCTCCAGCCTATCCAGGTCCCTTTGCAAATCATCTAAAGTTCCCCCCATATTCTGCTAATAGCATTTTCCCCGTAACATTTCAAAATCTTCAATATACAAAAGTCCAAAACTTACCCAAATGTGGTAAGTTTTCATCTTTATTAAGTTTTGTTTCTACTAACAGAAATTTACTCATGCCTGTACTACCCTCAGCCCAAAAGTTTCAGATCTGAAATAGAAAGATCTGAAATTGTCATACATGACATGTTTGGGCTCCTCAAACTGCACAAGGTGTGTGAAATGCTCCTATGGACTGAAAAAACTCATTTTTCCACAGATAATTTTAGAAGATGACTTTTGCATTAGGTAGTGTAATCTTAAAGCATTTAATAACTGGAATCAATTTCTCAAACCGAACCAATATGATTCCATTATGAATACCATCAAGATTATATATTTTTACCTATACTCATCACTGCCAATTCAGATAAGTCCTTTTGCAGTCAGCTTCATAAAGCCCCAGTTTCACTACTTGGATTTTCAGAAGCCAGCCGGACATCAAATTTTTTTACTATTGAGCAAATCATAATGCCACAATCGTATGTTTCCTAACTTTCTTTTTTGGTAGTGTAAAGGGCCACACCATTATCTGAAATAACAGCTTCCCTTTTTTGACAATATTTCTTCTTCACAGAGTTGGTTGACTTAGTCCTTGTTACTGCCCATCACATCTAGCACTTCCTTTTAGATGTTTCAATGTTTACCTTCATCTGATACAGAGCTCGTTGCAGCTGAGAGTATTTCCCATCCTTTTATCAGAAAAGTCTTTAGCTATAAACACAGTTGCAATGGGATGCTCAGCCATGGCATTTCACATGTAAGCTGTCCTGCACTTAATACAAGATCTAGCTTCCAGAAAAACAATTTTCCAGTGCAACTTCTGTATATCTGTTTTACTCCTCAGCTCTAAGTACTTTCTCCAGTGTCCATGTTTAATACACTTGAAAGCAGGTACTTTCAGCTGCCTTCAGCCTTCTTTGCCCTATTCCAGTATCTCAAATCCTATGGAAAGAGAGGTGGTATTTTAGCTTTCCAGAGATAGCAAATCTCGTCAGAGATGTGGAACCACATTCAAAGTGGAAGTGGGCAGAACACCAAAGCACAGTGTCTCTAACAGCACTTTGCAGATAGCAAGAGCAAGTCATAAATCATGCTTCCCAAAATCTCTCCATTACAGAGTCAGCTTTAATTTGTCTGTTGCCCATCCATGCCTCAGAACAAGTTCAGGAGACCAGACACACCAAAACCTGGCATCTGTGCCATTGTCAGAGAAACATGAAAGAAAACTAGTATTGTTAGGCTGTGGCAATATCACTCACATCCACTTGTAAAGTGGAAGCGCATGAAGTGAAAAAGGGATGGTTTTGCAGTCAAACCATTAGATCAGGAGTTAGGAGACCTGGGCTTTCATCACAGTCCTACAAGAAATTCCTTCTGAATAAATTACAACTTATCTTTGGTATTTTTCTCTAAAAAGAAAAAATTTAAATGACCATTTCTTGCAATCAGCTGTAATTAATGACCAAGTCTTTAGAGATCAAATTCATCCATGTTTATGCCAGCACTAAAGTGTTGCAATTGTAAAAGCTCACACTGAAACTATTCTCTTAGAGATATTAAAATTTAACATTTTTATGGGCATTATTAAGACCATTAAGTAGAGACATATAAATTGCAAATTAGGAAACTCTAGATTTTACCCATAGTGGCTTGTTGAGTTAGTAGTTTTTGCATATAGAGCACTACAGTGTACATGTACACATAGACACCTACACCCCCTTAGTCTTACCTGTTTCCTTATATTAAGGGCAAGCATCAGTGCTACTCCATGCACTCCATCACATTTCATTTTGACAAGTAGGGAAGTCCAAAGCAAGACTTATCTCACGATGTGTGCAGTGCCTTTTTATTTCAAAAAGCATTACCTATATTTTAGAAGCAAATTACTTACTACACACTATATATGAAATATCTGGCAAATGATCCTCAGTCTGAATTCCCATATAACCACAATTTCTCTTTCCACATGTTACAGCAGATGCTCAAGAATGAATTAATCTCATTTGGTAGCTAAACTTGGCTGTCTCTAGAAGAACCCCACCAGCGTCCCTCTTGTATTCAAGATTTAGGGGTTTGTGTTACCAATAAAATTCTAAAACATGAGGTAGAAGCTTTTATCAAAGCAGTGTCTCCAGATACCGGTCTGGGCTCTATCTGCATTGTTGCTGCTTACATTCCTACCATGAAGATCAGTCCGCTCTGTCCTCACTAACCTTTGAGGAAAGATAACTTCTGGTTTTCATCTTCCTACCAAGACTTCTCAGTGGTGTATAAGGAATTAATTTTGCAATTGCTCTTTGCAGTCTTCATTGCATTATTGCAACTTACTCATAACCTATGAGCTTCTAATTTTTACCACATTCTCTCCTGTTGCTTTACCCTCCCAAATAATTTAGCCTGTTAAGAGAAAGCTGGAGATCATTTTGCTTATGCTGCCTCCCTCTTTCCCTCCTGCTCAGATGCATCTGAGCTCCATGCTCCACAAGACATCACTTGCAGAGTAAGTTCTGTCAAACACTTGATGAATGAATTCCCACATTTCAGTTCTGTCTTCTCTCATTCTTGAGATGGGGAAAGTCCTGGAAGGGAGTTAATAGAATCATAGAATGGTTTGTGTTGGAAGGGACCTTAAAGATCATACAGCTCCAAGTCTCCCCCCACCATGGGCAAGAATGCCACCCACTAGATCTGTTCAGGGCCCCATCCAACCTGGCCTTGGCCACTGCTAGGGATGGGACACCCAGAGTTATTTAGATATTCCACCAGGGTGGGATATACAGAGTTTTTAAGTGATTCCTCTTCATCCCAAATGTTGAATTTTCTGTCCTCTGTTGAATTTTCTGTTCTGTCCTAGACAGCAATTGTTTCCCTCCTGTAAGAGCTGATAAAGCTTTCTTTTCAGTTGCTCACCTCTTACGATATGAACATCCATCAGGTTTGCCTTTAAAGAGTATGATCAGTCTTCCAGAGAAAGTTCCTCACTGAATCACTATTAAACAATCAATATTTCTAGCTGGATGTAAGGCAACCTGTTTCTCTCTTCCCCCCAGTCACAAATCACCATATTGTTTCCTTTGTTTCTGTTCTCCCCAGACCTCCTAAAATTGATCTTTTCCCTTGTGGCAGGCCCGAACAAAGATTTCAGCAAGGGGCTGTCCGACAAGTCAATGCTTTGCATGCTGCACAGTGTCAAATTCAGTATCTCCAGACTGGGTTCCTTCTCTCTACCAAGTCTCCCAGCTTCCAACCCAAGAAACAGAGCTCACATTTATCCTTTGGCTGAAATAAAACAGAGCATAGCCAGGCCAGGTAACTGCAGTAACTTGCTAGGCATCTGTACACTTAATAAAATGTAGCGTTCTCCTGGCATAGAAGGGAGCCAAATGCCCCCAGCTGCCATTTCACTGAAGTAAGCCCTGCAAACCACAGGGATTTAGAGTTCTTACACCCAATGCTTTTTGCAGTTCTTCATGGTCATGCACTAAAAGGGTGCTCATTGATTTAATAAAGCCAAGGTCTAGAGAGATCTATAAATACAAGTATTTTACCCTCATGCATTATTGCCCTGATGCCCAAGACTGAACTTCTGCTGCTTCACAGATAAATTGCTTCCTCACTGGTTAACACCAGCTTCCATTAGCAAAAATGGTGGCAGACATATTTGGGAAGGTGACCCATGATAAAACACAGCTTTGTCTCCTTTGTTTTCCCTTTGATTTCCTTACTTGCCACATCCCACACTCTTCTTTTTCCCCACCCCCCTCTACTCAAAAGAATTCATAATGTATTTAACATATTCTTTATCAACATTACCTAAAAAGTTATCAATGAGTCTCACTTGAAATAATGGACTCAGCACAGAGATACACATCAACTTCAGGGGGCTCAAGATGATCTAGGTCCCGCAGTTGCCAAAATTGCCTTCTAAAAGGTAGTCTGAAACAATTCTTTACGTCTTTTATAGACTTATAATAACATTAATAGCAATAATAGAAGAGGAGGAGAGGGTGTGTTGATATTTCAGTCCTAAAGCAGAATGCATTCTGTACATTCCGCTACTCTGTAAATTCCAAAATGTAAAACATAGAGCTTTCTAGCTATACTTTTCTTTGCATTCAACAGTAAATTAATTAAATTATGGTTTTCTTTTAAATATATCACAGGAAGTTTTATTTAGAACAACCGTTTTACAATAACTCCTAATCCTTGGCCTGTCCAACTGAACTGCTCCCAAAAACGTTTAACTCCGAAGCAGAATGACAAGGAAACGGAATGTTTCTCCCCAAAATGTGTACTAGCTAGCAAGATTATTAACCACTGAATTCCCGGCACAGCAGGCAATGTGAGCCTTGGAACAAAGCACTCTGATGAAAGCATCACTTGTGCTTTCACTGTCGTCTTATTACAGCACGTCCAGTCACACTGAAGCCTTTACCTTGCACTCCCGTGGAGCTCCTCACCTACTGGTGTGTGACACTGAATGTGTGGGAGCTTGAAGCAGCAGTGTCCAAACCTTACCTTTCATTCTCTTTGCTAAGCTACAAGCAGTCTTCTGGGTGCACCACTGACTCTGGCTGAAAACAGTTCTCCTCCCAGATTCACGCAGTAAACACGGTTTCACAATGTCATATTAAAGTCATGTACAACTTTGTACCTGAGTTTTAAAGTCTAAGAAAAGATTGCCAGATCATGGATTAGGTTACTTTCCATTAGCTCAGCTCTGAGATAACCCTGTGTTACACAAAGGAAACAGAGGCACCCAAGATTTGATTATGTGAAACATTCTCTGCTCTGTGCAGTTACATTTAATACAGGTCTGAATGCTCTTACTAGCTGAAATCCACACTTACCAGGCAAACACACATTATACAAGGGTTGTCTGTGATAAATGGTATCTGCAGAATTTCCCCTTCATTTTCACATTTTGCAACGGATCCTGAAATAGAAATAAAATTTTTAAAATACTAACGTATTTCAATTTCCCCTAATGGTTTTGGAAACTGTCCTCACCACACTCACATTTGAGCCCTGCTCCACTCCTAGCCTTTGATTTTAAATCCTGCCTTAATTTGCCCAACTTAAGCAAGCAAGGACGTTCAGTGTTTCAGTAGGATTCTAAAGAGAACGGGAAATGACTGGCCTTTCAATGCTGCACAAACCTAGACTTTCTTTGTGCCCCAGTTATAGCAAAGAAGGACGTTTTTTCTCCTCTCAGATGACGTGTTAAGAATAACGAGTACTCCATGCAAAGCAGGATACGTCTATAACGATAGATCCAGAGCTCACTGAAATCAGCAGAAAGCTGTCCATTACACTCCAAGAACTTGGAACAGGAGCACAGCACAACCCTAAACCAAGCATCCTTTTAACACGCAACAGCCAATTGGCAAATGAGTCAAAATTAGCAGGCTGACTGTCAGACAGAATCAAACTAGAAAACCCTTTTTGGCCCTTGTGCTGATTAGCCGGTATTCTGTCAAGTTGGAATCAGTTTTCAGAGTCTAGTGGTTCTTTGCTTGCACTAGAAATTGATTCAGCGTTTCCCTCCATGCCCCAGATACCAGGAAACTTAGCCCTCGAGGGGAAGCAGGGAAAACAGTGGATAAAAAAAAGGAACATGAAAATGTAGAGGTGAGGGGCATGGTTACTGTGCTCACCTGCCCCAACCCACGCGGTTACACCTCCGGCCGCCCTTCCCGCGCAATGCCAGGCAGCCCCCGCTCCCGACGGCGATTCCCGGCGGCAGGTGGGCCCTGCGCCCCCGTCCCCCCGTACCTGTGAGCAGGGAGGAGGCCGGCGCCCCGGGGAGGCACAGGACGCCCAGGAGGAGGGCGGCGGCGAGCGGGGCGAGGCGCGGGGCCGCGGGCCAGCCCCCGCCGAGCCGCGGCATCGTCCCGGGGGTGCCGCTGCCCGCCCGCAGGCTGAGGGACAGCGTCCGGGACGCACCGTCGGGTGGCGGAGCCCGACCACCCCCGGCACGCCCGCCCCAGCACCGACCCCCGGCGCCGGGCAGCGGCGGGGGGGGTGAGAAGCAGCACGGGAGACCGCGGCCCGCCGGGGAGTCCCACCCAACGGCGGCACCGGGGGAGGGGACTGTGGGTGCGGGGAAAGCAGCTGTCAGCGCCTGCCCCTCGGCCCCGCACCCCCTCTTTCCATCACCCCCCTCCCCTGCCCGCATCCCTTCTTATACCTTCCTCTCCCCATAGTCCCTCCTCCGGCACCCCCCGGCCCCCATGCCTCCCTCCCCCCCGGCGCACACACGCACAGACAGGCTGCCAGCCCTAGACCCCGCTTCCCTGCCGGGAGATGCCCGGCCACTCCCTCCCCGGCCCCGCCGAGCACCGCCCGGCCCGGCTGCGGCGTCGGGGGGCTGCGCCCCCGGCCGCTCGGCGGGAGGGGCGGGGGAAGGGGAGAGAGAGGATCGAGGAGAAGAGAAGGAAAGAAGAAGAGGAGGAAAAGGTAAACGAGCAGTAGTAGCAGGGGAGGAAACGCGGATCCTCGGACAGAGCCGGGGAGGCGCAAACCCCGGTACCTGGGCAGAACGCCGCGGCGCCGGCTGCCTCCGGCGGGCTCGTCCCCAGCTCCACAGCACGGCTCCTGTCAGTGTCCTCCGTGCCCGCGGGCGGATTTCGCCGGCCGCTAGTGAGCGAAGAGAGGGAAGGAGAGAAGGAAGGGCGGGAGGGAGCGAGAGGTCGGAGGCTGTCCGCCGAGAACTCCTCGGCGGGGCTTCGCTCCCCGGCTGCCCGCCCGGCCGGGGCCGCCGAGCTCCCTGCCTCCCCGCCGCCCCCGCTGCTGCCCCCTCTCTCGCTGCAGCCGCAGCACCAACTCCCGCAGCCGGAGCCGGACTCTCCGCGGGGCCGCTGCCCCCCGAGAGGGGCTTTCCCTGTCCCTCCCCGCCCGGCTCCGGGGCTACCGCTCCCCCTCGGGGCGCCTGGGGCTCGGCGGGGTTGGGGAGCAGCAGGGGCGCAGCGGCCGGGGCCGCGCTCTCCTTCCCCGAGCCTGGCCCGCCGTGCGGATCCCTCGGTCCATCGCTCCCCGGTGGGCTGCAGCCTTGGCAGCTCCTCCTTAACACTTGCCATTTTGCAGGTCCACGCTTTGCTATCCCGAGTGTAAACACGGGCAAAGTTAGCGACTGACATCACCGACACCCAGCTTTTGCGCTCACAAATAGACGCAAGGTCGGGATGGGATGACACTTGTGGGTTGTGGCAGGAGGTTTTTCTGTGACAGATCTCCCCGAACCTGTTTTATAAATCGATTTCCTGCAAACTGTGATGTTTCACGTGGGGAAGTGAACACTCTCTGAAATAAACTAGTCTGACAACAAACTGAAAAATGTTTTTAGATTTCTATGCGTTCTTATTTCATTTCTTCCGGGGGTGCATGTGAGCTGCTGTTTCAAAAATGCTACAGTAATGGCAAATCACGTGCATTACAGGCTGATATGTGCAGGACTACTTCAAGTACATTTTATTTCCCAGGAAGATGCAAGCCAAATAGCTTTACATGAGCATTTTAAGAATAAAACCCAAAAGCCAAGACCTCTGAAAGCTTACATCTTTGTTCTAAAAAACTTGTGCACCTCATTTCCAACTCAGTTTGTCACCTACCTTTAGGTACGGCACAGAAGTCCTAAAATAGCTGAAATAGCACCTATGGGAGGGACTACAACAAACTGATACTGATCAACTTGTGGACATCCCTAGCAAAATTCCTCTCTCTGAGAAAAGAAAACCTGCTTTATTCCTCCAGTCTGTACAGGTTGAAGCTGCGTAGACACACAGGATAATTTAGATGCCATTAAAAGGATTTCAAATTCAAAAAAAAGCCAACCACAAGTGAAGTACAAAACTTGCTCCATGCTTTGTAGAATACAAAACGTAAGAAAGTCGGGATATAAATGTACCCTGGATTTTTTTTTCTTTCCTGGGAAATGTCATCTTCACATTTCCATGCATTTTAAACAGAGATGAGGTACATATTATGCACTACTCCAGAATAGATTTTCACATGTCCAAGTATTTTTTCCATTGGAAAGATGTACTGAATTTTCTGGCAAGCTGGCTTCTCTGTCTGTAATCAGTGGTTATTCTTTTTTAATTCCAGTGCAGCCATAGCCCTTCTAAAGCAACAGCTGTAGGAAAAATAAATCTGCCCTAATCATTTCTTAAGTGACAACTACCACAGGAGAGTACTTATATCATTGTGTGCATCGAATCTTCTCTTTGTTCTGGTCTAAAATTCATTAAATATTAACATCACTTGGTGTGAGAAACATACAAATCACAACGAGGGCATCAGATAACAATCCAGGCATCCAAATAACAGCAGGGAACTTGTTAAAATAGTCCAAAAAATGCAAGAAGCAAGGATCTCCTTTACAAAATGAAGACAAGAGGCGACAGCAACTGAGCTTAATGCCCAATCCCTGACATAACTCATTTAGTTAAGACAAATACTTAATGAAATCATACCTAAGTCAGGGCAGTTACAAAGCAATATACACAGATTTGTTACATGATTTTCCTTTTCCTGTAGAGAAAAACAGTGTGATTTTCACTAAAGCACCTTCAACACACTGATTAGGCCTAAAACTTACCTCTGAAACATCTGCAGCATGAGAACATCGTCCATGGGGTGAGCTCACTGGGTCCATGCCTCTTTTGTGGTAGCAGCAGTGTTGGGGTGAGGAATTTGCCCTTGTTCCTTGCTCAAAGCACCTGCTGAAATGGAATTCTGAGCCTCCCCATGCCGTGCCTACTCCACACTTCACTGCCTATTAGCTGCCCAGTGGAAAAGCCTGCTAAGGTTAGCAGCAACCTCTGTTGCTTCCTTGATATTGATAACGGTGACATATCGCAGAGGAAGATCGCTCTCTCATTTAAATCTCATGAAGTAAAACCCAGCCTGGAAGGGAAAAACACCATCTTAATCCTCCCCCACCTTAGTTTCACCCACTCAGTGCTACAGGTTTGTCTTGGCTTTTTGTCTCTCCCTTAACCTCTCTCCCAAGCCTGCCTTATCAGAGGTCAGCATCCTTTCTGGTTGTAATGCCACATTAAGAACAGTTTCAAGGTATAGGTTTTTTTTTCCCTTTTGCATCCCTGTTCGAAGAGGTACTACTCATTTTTCCAAGCAACATTCAGAGCTGTGGTCATTTTAACAAAATCGGAGGCTCACACTGGAAACCATGTCCTGCTATCAGATATGCACAGACACTTTGTTGTATACCAGCGGTTAAAACAGAAGTCATGTCATCAAACCACTTACCTCTTTTGTATAAGCATTACATGGTATCAGTTGTTATTGAAAGGATACATTCATTAGTTCTGTTTATTGGTCGACCTGGGCTCATCAAGCTTGCTGGAGCGGTAGCTGTTCACAATTACCACTTTGTATGGAATTCAGCTCCTTCTCCAGTGATGCTTTCCCAGTGGTCAGCCATAAAAGAATGTCATACATTACCTGATCACCTAGCACTCACCTAAAAAGAAAAATCTTTATGGTTAACAACAGCAACAGTGAAGAAGACAGTGATCACACAACTTTCTTCATGATTATCTGTCTTACTGGCAAGTCAAAATTGCTGGAAGGCTCATGCTTCATGGGCTAGGAAATTCTTCCAGAAGTGTTGGGAGGCACTCAATCACTATATTCATATGTATTTTCCTTTTTTTTTTCTGGGAGGAAATTTGCTCTTCTAGGTCTTGGACATAGGTTGTCCTTACCATGCAAGTGTGCAATCAACATGCTACACATACATCAGCACTGCGAGTGTCCCTGCTTTTATTACCTTTATGTTGTTATACATTATCTTAACACAGCTTCTTTGAATTTGTGAGCCTTCTCAGCATAAAGAAGAAAATATGACCCAGATATACACTGTGCTGAAGGCTACGTAAATTGGCACAACTTGCTGTATCCAGTTCTGGCTTGCTGAACAACTATGCAGTTACAAGGTACTGAAAGTAGTTTGCATATCAGATCAAGCTTACACATTTCTATTGTTATGAACATCTTGCTAAAGATAAAGAACTCTTGATCCAGTAACTTACACCATCAAAAAGAAGGTCACACACATTTGATGTAGTTGGAGGAGTGGGTCTGATAAGCTTCAATCCTGAACATTCTTGCAGAGAGACCTGTAATTTGGGAAAGTGTTTTATTATCATGGTGCATCAGCACACAACAATTGGGAAGCTCAGGAGTAAGTCATCACAGGATTGCGGTGAAGATATGGCACTTTCCTGCAGGTGAGCAGATGGAACTTTACTGTTCATCCTTCAGTACTGAGCCAGGCTGCAGCCTTTCAAATTCTTACGTATCTTCATTCATTTCAGCGCTTAATCATGTTTTAAAGTTAAGAGTATCCACCAGTGAGAGCAAATGGTATTTCCTGCACAGCCACTTTCCCTCTAGGAGATGATGTTAATAAACCTCGAGACTAGCCTGATTGTGTCAAAGAGGTGCTCCTGACAAAGCTCCCCTACTGCAAAATATTCAGAAAACTTAAATGGGTGTAAATGAGGTCTGGAGACCACACCAAGAGGTTTTAAAACTGTGAGAGGATTAAAAAATGACATATGGCCAAAGTCTTTAAATAAAAGGAAAGTACAAGAAAATATCTAAAAGTTACAGTGAGACTTACTTGAATAAATGTTTATAAATTTTATCAAACAACTCATCATTTTGACAGTTTTCCATAAACTCCTGGAACATGCAAAGCATTTAATTTATTTGTGACCAGATAAAGATAATGAGTAACATTTTAAAAGTTTATTAACATAGAATGTCCTGGCACAGTCACACTTACATACTTCTATTGTTTAAGTTATATTTTCTCAGAACTCAAAAAAGCCTTACAAAAGTGAGCTTCTCATTGCAAAAGCTTAAAAATTATCCTCATCATCTGTATTCATAGAAAAGCAAATGAAACAAACAGCATAAACTAAACTGAATACAAATGCCAGCAGTACCTCAAACTGAAAAATACTTGCATGCAGCAGAAAATATGGATCCAATATGGAGACAATAGGCTGCTGCAATAGTCCATATCAAATATGCTAAAACAATAACAAAAGAAGTAAATTATAACAGAAATGCTGATGCCATCTTAATGATGGGATTCCCAGCAAAAGCAATTCCAGAGGCCACAGGCCAAGCAAACAGAGTAAAGCAGCATATGCTGGTACTCCTTTCTGTTACTTTGCTGCTGTAAATAGCTTGTCTTTCAGAGAGAATAAAAATTATTTTGTGCGGTTTTTTTTTTTTTGTGTTACGTTTACCCTTGAACATCTGCTGTGTCTGATAAAGGATAAGAGGAGCTAACGAAATCACATGAAGAGTCACATATATGAGGTGCTTCTTTGTTTTCAATTTGTGAGACAAACCAAACCCTGCTTTTTTGCTTGGCTGCTGTACTGCCTGATAAGTGCAACAAACAAGGAGTACTCAAGAAGCATTCTGTAAAATGGAAGATTGACTGACTGATTGATTGATTAACTGCACATGAAGATGGACCCATTCTGTACTAGAGAGAGATTATTTATCCCACGCCCTGCCCCCACAAAAGACAAGATATGCTTATTGTGACAGAAGACGGTTCCTTCCAGCCAGGATACAGTTGAAAAGCAGCTGCCTCTACAATGCACAGAAAGGTAAAGGATTGCATTTTTGCTAAAAGACAAGTTTCCACGGCATGCATCGTATAAGATCACCACTTCACCTACAGAGAGTGTACCCCGTGAGTTCATTCCTCCTAATGCTGATCCCCTTTCACAGCACAATTTCTCCCGGGGACTTTTTTCTTTTTTTTTTTTTTCGAACGAAAACTTAAAGGCTTAAAAACTGGGAGGTGAGGCTTCAGACGGGTGCCCTCATCCACACCGAAAACGAGCGAGAGGAGACTCGGGGCCATTAATTTTTAAGTCGCCCGCACTAAAAAGTTACCGCCTGGCGCTGAAGGCGGGCGCGGAGGATCAGCTCCCTGGCGGGGCGGCTGCCGGCAGGTGGCAGCGTTGGGAGCCCGGAGCTACAGAAATCTAATCTAACACGTCCTGATGCCTTGCTCCTTCCTTCCTTCACCAGCGAAATGCTCTCCTGGTTTGTTCTCGGAGCGCCGTTTTCCCCTTTCACTCGTCTGGCTTTGTAGGGCGTTCACTTTTACTGTCCCTGCAATTAGTACAACGTTTATCTTATTTTATCTGGAAACAAGGCAGTTTTACAAAGAACCCCTATTTGTTGTTATTTTCCAAATACAAAGATTAAGCAATTTACTGATTACTTTTTCTCTTCAGTTAATTGGCTATACAACATTACAGCTGGCACAAGTAAGAAATCCTCCCCACTACTTCTTCTTGGCTTCCGATTTAGGGGAAGCACACTCAATTAAACATTAATACCCGATCTGTCCTACTGACTGACAGTACCACACATATAGAGAGCAATGATCTGACAATCATACGCAGTCTTGTAAAGCTCCATCCATCAGGATATGTTCAGATAATACACCTGTGCAAACTGGGGTAATCCTGCACCAATCTGTTGAAACTTCTGCTAGTTATGCAGTTTCATAATGCGTATTATAGCCATTATTAAAGAAGCAATACTACAAGATTTAATAATTATATGGAATTGCCCACCACTCTGAAGGATTAATTAAACCCTGGATATCCTGCATGTGCTTAACCTGAGTAGACAGGAGTACACACAGACCCAAAAAAGCCCCAAAGCAGGAATTCATTAAAAACCCATCTTGTTTTGCTACCGATTCACGCAGGTCAGATTAATCTCAGACCTTCACAAAAAAGAAAACACAGAGCCACTTGGGCAAGAGAAAAAAAAAATGCACTTCCAGACGGCAGTATAATTCATCTACCTGCCTCTCAGCTATCTAAGGCTCTTTCAGAAGGAGATGAGAGCAATATTAAATGTGCCAGAGGTGGGCTTTTGGTGTCATTAGACAAATCTGCAGGGAGTTTCTGCCAAATCCCCAAGTTGTCTGACAGTAGCATACTTCCAAATACATCATTTAGAAGCATGAGGTGAACAGAGACACGGAATAGTATTTACTTTGGGAAAGTATCAGTCACATGTCTTGAATATATTAGCAGGTTAAACCCAGGAGAGTCAGCTGAATTACTTGTGACCAAAGAAAACAATTAATCAACAGTTTTAAGGCTTCCCAGAATTTTAAATATGTATTTACATGTGGTGTATGCTATTTATTTTAGGTATCTTTAAACCTAGACTCTGAAGTCTCAGGATGATGGCTGGCAGGTATTCCGACATACAAAATGACATCTTTTGAGAAACTGGTTGGTAATAAACTATTTTCACACAGAACTGAATTTGTGTCTTAGGGGATTTGGGGTTTATTTAAGTGAACTAAAAAACAACCTTTTTACCCAGTCATTTAAAATTCTAATTGGTTTTAATATTTTTAAATATTATTTTAATGTTGATCAAATTGTCTTTAACATTGGATTATGCTTGGATTAAATTGAAGTCAGCCTGTACGGTTGTTGTGTAGCTTGTATCTGTATAAAAGTCAGATAATAAATAAGACAGCTATTAATAAACAAAGAGATGATTATGGTGCTGGAAGTATTTTGCAAACTGCTCATCATGCAAATAGACCACATAATTTAGATCTTTTCCCTTGAAACATTCATGCATCAGAGCAGTCTCAAGAAGAACAAGGTCTGTAAGAATAGTAACTTTATGGGCAGAAGGTTCTCTCCTGTAGACACATGTTGCAGCAGGTTCCCAGAGGAAGCCAGGATAACTCCATTGAAAAGCAGAGGGCTACAGCATCAGGGCTACATATGTTCAAGGTTCACTCTGTGTTGGATTACCCAACAAAGAGGCCTCTTCTTCCACATGGGCTGCATCTCCTGGTGCTCCAAAGAGTAGGAATTTGGGGCCATAGCCCTCTAAAAGTGGCAGCACTGAGTGCTGTGCACACAGCCAGCCATACCTCTGGCCTGGGGGTATGTGATCGTGGTCCAGAAGCAATTCAGGACGCCCCATCCCATTTAGATACCCTCGCATTCCAACTGGCAACAGACCTGAATCCACAAACTCAGCTAAGCAGCTGTGAGCATCTAGGGTCTCCCAGGCTTCCGTGGGAGGCAGTGGTTTCACGGAAACTAGACAGAAAGAAACTAGACAGAAAGAAAGTCCAACTGGAAAACTTTGGAAACAAGTTGTGAGGCTGCCCTGTACTTACAGACTATGCCAAGCAAGCTGTGTGACTTGGCTGCCCGCTGGCATTGCTTGGATGGCTTGTGTGGGACACGCACAGCATGGAGCAAGGTGAAGACTCCAACTTTTCCCCAAGTGATCACCCAACTTCTTAACTTCCACAAGTACTTTCTTAGATTGACTTGTTTTGAAGTATGTGTTTATACCTTCATAAATGTTCACATGAAGAAAGAAAAATATCAAATAATAAATTACAGAACTGAGGGTTTTGCTGTCCCACAGTGGAGCTGCTTTCAGTTCTGCTGTGCAAGCAGTAATGAAAACAACTGCACTTCTTAAAGATAATTTCTGTGCATCTTTATTGAAAAGAAAAAAGTCAACCCTACAATCCAAATGATGATTAACTGACATATGAGCATTCCACAAAATGACAGTACAAGCCATCTATTAGAGAAAGTAATATTGTGAGCACTAGCCAGCACTCACAACAGTTCCATGCTTTGCTTTTGGGTCCAGTCCAACTGGATGAATAGACAGCACAATTCCCAAAATGCAGGAATTTTGCTGCTATGAAGCACTCTGAGGACAACAATCAAGCCTCAGCTTTGTAATGATAGGATTGCAAAAAATGGCCATTTAATTTAAAATAGCCTCTGTGGTTTGTAAAGCTGTTTCTGCATTGCTCACAGAGGATAAAATACACATGCTTTCACAAGCTTTCAGCCGCTGGCCCAAGTGCAGAAAAGGATTAAGGCAACACAGTTCAAATTTACATGATGCAAACTAGAAGAATAAGGAAGAAAAGATGGCTCTGAAAGCTATGCTTTGTTTTGTCCTAGAAGAGGTGTAATGCAAATTATTTTTTTCATAACTAGCAGGACCCAGCCAGATTGCAAAGGTATGGGCATGGTAGAAGCCAAACGACAGCTCTATTC